ATCCCACCCCTCTGTCCACCACACACAGCAGCCCGTCATGTCTCTTCCCAAGGACTTCCAGTGGGGCTTTGCCACTGCCTCGTGAGTCCAGCCCACACCTGACCTTGGAGGGACCCCGACTGACTTGCCCCAGGTACCAGATCGAGGGTTCCATCAACGAGGATGGCCGTGGCCCGTCCATCTGGGACACCTTCTGCAACATCCCCGGCAAGATCGCCGACGGCAGCTCCGGTGTCGTGGCCTGCGACTCGTACAAGCGCACCAAGGAGGACATTGACCTGCTCAAGTCCCTGGGCGCCACCGCCTACCGCTTCTCGCTCTCGTGGTCGCGTGTCATCCCGCTCGGCGGGCGCAACGACCCGATCAACCAGAAGGGCCTGGACCACTATGTCAAATTCGTCGACGACCTGCTCGAGAACGGCATCACGCCCTTCATCACGCTCCTCCACTGGGATGTGCCCGACGCCCTGGACAAGCGCTACGGCGGCTACCTGAACAAGGAGGAGTTCTCGGCCGACTTTGAGAACTTTGCGCGCGTCATGTTCAAGGCCATCCCCAAGTGCAAGTCCTGGATCACCTTCAACGAGCCCTGGTGCTCGTCCATCCTGGGCTACAACAGCGGCTACTTTGCGCCCGGCCGCACGTCGGACCGCAGCAAGTCGGCCGTCGGCGACAGCGCGCGCGAGCCCTGGATCGTCGGCCACAACATCCTCGTGGCCCACGGCAAGGCGGTCAAGGCCTACCGCGAGGACTTCAAGCCCACGCAGGGCGGCGAGATTGGCATCACGCTCAACGGCGACGCCACGCTCCCCTGGGACCCCTCGGACCCGGCCGACGTCGAGGCGTGCGACCGCAAGATCGAGTTCGCCATCTCGTGGTTCGCCGACCCCATCTACCTGGGCCACTACCCGGAGTCGATGCGCAAGCAGCTGGGCGACCGGCTGCCGACGTGGTCGCCCGAGGACATTGCGCTCGTCAAGGGCTCCAACGACTTTTACGGCATGAACCACTACACGGCCAACTACATCAAGCACAAGAAGGGCGTGGCGCCCGAGGACGACTTCCTAGGCAACCTCGAGACGCTCTTCTACAACAAGAACGGCGACTGCATCGGGCCCGAGACGCAGTCCTTCTGGCTGCGGCCGCACGCGCAGGGGTTCCGCGACCTGCTCAACTGGCTCAGCAAGCGCTACGGCTACCCCAAGATCTACGTGACCGAGAACGGCACGTCGCTCAAGGGCGAGAACGACATGTCGCTCGAGCAGATCGTCGAGGACGACTTCCGCGTCAAGTACTTTGACGACTACGTGCGCGCCATGGCCGCCGCCTCGTCCGAGGATGGTGTCAATGTCCAGGGCTACCTCGCCTGGTCGCTCATGGACAACTTTGAGTGGGCCGAGGGCTACGAGACCCGCTTCGGCGTCACCTACGTCGACTACGCCAACGACCAGAAGCGCCACCCCAAGAAGAGCGCCAAGAGCCTCAAGCCGCTGTTTGACAGCCTCATCCGCAAGGAGTAAGCGGGGGGGTGCGTGTTGTTTTTAAGTGGCTGTTTGACGCCATGGTTTTGCCGCCTCGTGCTGGCTCCTGTTTCTGAGGGAAAATCCCGTAAAGGGAGTATGATAATTATGAATCGAATGAGCGTTGTTTGTCATGTCTGGCTATTTGACTCTGTGACTGTGTGCCCCGAGTGAAAAAAGCCACAGCATCGGAAGAAAGAAGCTACCGAGTTGAACGAGGAACCTGGAACGGGTCTGGGTCTGGTGCCCTATCGGTGTGGTTGAAAAAGGCTTAGGGACGGAGGTGGGGTTGAGTGTGGGGTAATCAATGCCGCACTCGCTTGTCCTAATGAGGTAGCCCCTCCCCCCCACAAACCAAATCGTGCGCGGGGAGCCGTTTCAGACGGATGGGCCAAATCAGGAAGGGAAGTCGCCTCGAGGTCGCCTTGAAGTTGAGTCCCGGGTTTGAGGGTCGCAACATCCATGCTTTTTTTTGGACGTTGACGACTTTCTCTTGAATTTCCTCTCGAATTTCTTGCTCTTTTCTGACTCTATCTCTCCTTCGACTCCTCGTCCCAAACCCACCCGAGATGGAGCGAACTGAGGCGATCGTGTCGCACAGTGGAGGCCCTCGTTTCTGCACTACCCAATGCGGTTTAGCGGTGCTCATCGACGCGCAACCTTGAAATGCGGAGAGCCCCGGATCGGATTGCTGGGACGGCGCCGCCTTGACCGAGGAATTGGAGATGGAGTCCGGACACCTGGAACTTCTGGAACACTTGCCTCTCGCCCTCGCGCTTGTCCCGGTGGATTCAAGACCGGCAGACTAGAGACTACTTATATAGACTCCGTTCCCTCTCATTTCATCCGAGTCACCGCATCTTTCCGTCCCATTGCCCTCATCTCCCTTGTCTGTCTCTCCTCGGACCAACGGCGGCTTCGATCGGCACCAGACGTCGGCCCCGGCTTGTGCAAATCGGTAACACGCTCCGCCCTCCGCCTTGCCGCACACATTACGTCCTATAACCTCCCTCTTCTCGGCCTCGCGTCCCGCTGTCGTAGCTCACCGCCACCATACCCTCGGACAGAAACAACCCCCAACCTCATCTCGCGCCAATCCGGACCTCCAGCCGACACCCGGCATCCCCCAACCACCCCCTACCTGCCAGAGGAACAAAAGAGAAGAAAAAACAGCCACCATGTCTCCCCCTCCCTCCCGCCTCCGCAACCTCCTAGGCCACCTCCTCCCCGCCTCCCCGTCCTCCTCCTCACCTCCCCAAAAAAAAACCCACCACCACCTCTCGCACCTCTCCCCAACCTTCTTCCTCGAGCGCGCCGCCGCCATCGAGCCCCGCGCCGAAGCCTGCGTGCACATCACGGCCAACGGCCGCCTGCTGCGCCGCTCCTACGCCGAGCTGGCCGACCGCGCCCGCGGGCTGGCCTACTACCTGCGCAAGCGCGGCTTCACGCGGGTCGGGCTCCTCGCGCCCAACACGCCGGCTTTTCTGGAGACTGTCTATGGCGTTGTCGCGGCCGGCGGCGTGCTCGTGCCGGTCAATTACCGGCTCAAGGAGGAGGATGTGCGGTTTATTTTGGAGTTTGCAGAGGTGGATTGTGTGATTGTGGATGCTGAGTTTGAGGGGTTGTTGGGCGGGTTTCGGAGGGGGAGGCCGGGGGTGGAGGTGCTTGTTGATTTGGTGGGTTGTCCCCCCCTTTTCTTTTTGTGTCGCCTGTGGTGGGTGATGATGGCTAACTCACTTATGAAGGATACGGATGCTACCGAGGGCGAGCTGTGCGGGCCGTTTGATGAGGCGGTTCTTGAGGGGCTGACGCACGATCGGGAGTCGGGGAGCAAGGGCTGGGCCGACCTGGTGTCGCAGAGGGTTGAGAACGAGGACGATATGATTGCGATCCCGTTCACGTCGGGGACGACGTCGAAGCCCAAGGGGGTCGTGTACACGCACCGTGGCGCTTACTTGGCTACGCTGGCCAATGTTGTTGAGTCGGGGTTGAACCTCCCGGATGCGAGGTGCAAGTACCTCTGGACGTTGCCGATGTAAGTCTACCTCTCCGCTGGCAGAACCTCTCCGCTGATCGAACAACCAGGTTCCACGCTGTTGGCTGGACATTCCCCTGGGCCGTGTGCGCCGTCCGCGGCACGCACGTCTGTCTGCGCAAGATCGACTACCCCCTGATCTGGAAGCTTCTCAAGGAAGAAGGCATCACACACTTCAACGCCGCGCCCACCGTCAACACGCTCCTGTGCGCCCACAAGGATGCCGAGGTCCTCCCCCGCCCCGTCCGCGTCACCGTCGCGGCCAGCCCACCCACCGCGCACCTGTTTGAGCAAATGACGAACCTCAACCTGCTCCCCGTGCACGTCTACGGCCTGACGGAGACGTACGGCCCCATCACCCGGGGCTACATGCTCCCGGAGTGGGACAGCCTCCCCAACCACGCACGGTACGCCAAGATGGCGCGGCAGGGCCACGGCTTCCTGACTGCGCTCCCCGCCCGGATCATCAAGCCCGACCAGCCCGAGGACGTGCTCATCGACGTGGCCAAGGACGGCAAGGAGATGGGCGAGATTGTATTCTCGGGCAACATCTGCTGCAAAGAGTACTACAAGGACCCGGAGGCGACGCGCAAGCTGTTTGCGGGCGGCGTGCTGCACTCGGGGGACCTGGCCGTGTGGCACCCCGACGGGAGTATCCAGATCCAGGACCGGGCCAAGGATATCATTATTTCTGGTGAGCACACACACTCCTCTCCTTTCTTTCCCCACACCCAAACTTTCCATTGACTCGTTCGTGCTTGCAGGCGGCGAAAACATCTCCTCGGTCGCCCTCGAGTCCATGCTGGTAGAGCACCCGGACGTCCTCGAAGCCGGCGTGGTCGCGGTGCCCGATTCCCACTGGGGCGAGCGGCCCAAGGCGTATGTGACGGTCAAGGAGGGGGGCGGCAACAAAAACAGCCTCCGGGGTCAGGACGTCATCGACTGGGCCAAGCACCAGAGCTCCATCAGCAAGTTCATGGTGCCGCGCGAGGTCGAGGTCGTCAGGGAGCTGCCCAAGACGAGCACGGGCAAGATCAAGAAGACTGTGCTGCGGGAGTGGGCGAAGAAGGGGACGCCGGGGGAGGTTTTGGTGGGAGGGGGGCAATGATTAGGAGGACGTAATGGGTTGTTTATATCCAAGCATGACTCTAGTGCACTGTGACCAACAACAACAACAACAAGTGAAGTGTGTAGATTCCAAGACCATGGGGTATGAAAAAGAAAAAGAAAAGGGGTATGAAAAAGAAAAAGAAAAAGGAACGACGCGGAGTACGCACACAAAGCCCTAACCCTAACCATCAAGGGTTGGTGGTGGGGTTCTCGGAGAAACAATCCTACAAAAAGACAAGCCCCAGTTCCAGTTCAAGGTTGTTGTGCGTATGTACCTGTGCGTGTGAAACAAAAAAGTTGGCTTGCCTAGGTGGGAAACCGAAAAAATTCAAGCTTAGCTCTGACTCGTTTCGATCGAGTGACCTCCGGGTTATGAGCCCGGCGCTATTCCGCTTAGCTACAGAGCTTTTTGTGCTGTTGTTGAGGCAGAGACCTGTGAGGCACCCTTTATTCGCCGGGAAAGTGAGTCATGTTTCAGGGGTCGGACAAAGGGCCGGGTGTGGGGTGTGCGGGTGGATTGGATGGAGTTTTTGGGTGGCGTGGCGGGTCGTTCGTCTGCCTGCAGGTTGTACATAAGGTACATACATACATATGGAAATGTGGCACATGCTTTCTTTGCATGTGGATTGTGGCAGAGGAAACATGATTGTGATGATTGTATTTGGGGATAGTGAGGGGAACGTGGTGAACGTCGCTCCTGAGACGATAAAGGTATATGTATGTACACACTCTCGTCCAAACTAGCCAAAACGCCTTCTAGAAGCCCGAGGGGGGCGCAGAAACAGACCAACGCCATGTCATGCTCTGGTATAAACGACCTCCAACGACAACAGTGATACGAACATTACGCGGGGTATGGTAGGTGCATGAAATCATCAGGCGTACAAAGAACCAATTAATGGGTATAAGTGAAGGAACAAACGAAAACAAGGGTTGAGGATACTAGGCCGCGACGGCGGGTGGGTCAAGCGGCAGGGCTTCTGGTCCGTCGCGCGAAGAGCTAGGTGTGGTGGGGGAAGCCGGGGCAAGTTCCGGATCCGATATTTGAATGTCGAGCTGCGGCAGTCAGTACAGATAAACCTAGTGAGAACCACGACCAAAACATACCGTCATATACCCCGTCCGCCGCAGGGGCACAATCTTGGGCGGAATGACGCCCTCGTCGGGCCCCGCCGTCTTCTCCATCTCGGCATTCCACTGCTCAATCCACCGCTCGAGGCTTCGGAGGCGCGTCTTGGCCGCCGTGAAACCAAGGTCGTCCCAGAGCCACCCGGTCGCCAAGCCCAGCACATTGTCCAGCAGGTTCCTCCACGCAGACGGGCTGAAAATGGGGACCAGCTCGCTATTCAACTTGTCAATGACACGACGGAACTCTTGCTCGGACACGCCTGCGGGATCCAGGATGTCGGGGTAGAGGTTGGAAAAGGTTGGCGCAAGGTCGCCCTGGAGAAGCCAGTCCCGGCGGACCCTAATGATGCGTGTGTTGGCATATTCGGGCGAGTCTACAGGGACGTGCGGGTTCAGGTGCGGGTAGCAGGGATGCTGGGGTCCCCATTCCTCTCCGTTGTCTGGTGGCTGGTCCGGGTCGCCCATGATGGACGAGTTGCTCGAAGAGAGGGCCGACATGATGCCCGACAGGCCAGACGCCGTGGAGTCGCGGTGGTTGAGGACATCTGGCCCGCGTTCCAGGTCTGGCGTGAAGCCATCCCCGGCATCGTCGGGTGGCGCCATGACTGCCTTGCCTTTGCCCTTGTCTTCTTTCTGTCTCGACCCGGGCCTGAAGCTGAAACTGAGCCCGACTGGTGCGTGTAGCTTTGTGAAGCTTGGACCCCTGCTTCGAAATCTCCGGCCCTCGGGGACCACCAAGTGGGCCGCCTGCCGGCTGGTGGACGGGCCTGCTTCTGGTTCTGGTTCCTCGACCGGCGAGGGTGTGGCACTCGAACGCTTTTCGTCGTACGAATGGCGGAGGGAGGGCGGCAGGCTGATGGTCTGCTCGGCTCCGGCGTAGCGATCGAGATGGAGACTGGCCCTGTGGGAGAGTGACCGGCGGACCTGGCCCTGTTCGGGGAGCGTCAGAAGCGGGTAATCACCGGCAGCGGTGCCGATGGGCCTAGACGAGTCCTCGGTGACGTCAAGCGTAGGCCGTGCGAGCGGGATGGGTGGAGGCGGCGGCGTGGACTGGCGGCGTGGCCTGCCTGTTGCCGGAGGAGCTAGGTTTCTCGGGG